AGTGTAGCATTGATGGTTTGGTGTGCATAGAGAAAGAAGCAAAGAAATGATGACTACGGAATATTTGCAAAGAATTATATAAATAACTTGACCAAGGACAGCTGCTGATAACCTCTACTATGTCCCACAAACTCCTTTAGAGCGGTGTCATTATGTTCCTCATATCCCAAAGCTGCATGAATATTTTCACATGGTCAAACCTTATCAGTCAACAAATAAATAGTTACTTTCTCTCTGAATTCTATACCCTCAAAATAGGAGAAGCATCTTCATCTGATGCAACGACGAGCTGTGTGGCAATATCAGGATGCCACTGTAAAACTGAGCACCGTCTTGTAACTGAATCTGAAAAGCTGTCAGATCAAATATGATACACCAGGTTATCAAGAATTTTGTTTTCCCATTAAAAAAAAAACAAACCAAAAGATGGTTAATCAATAATTAGCCATCAATTTACCTTATCACTGGCTTTTGCTTCTTTAGATCCCAAACCACTGAAAAAAATTTAGAACATTAGAAAAAACAAATAGGATTCTAACCAACTTATGGTTGAGAACAATGTCTAAAAATTCCAATAATCCTTGCTCACCAGTAGTCCCATTATAAGATGTAGATGCTAAAATGTGCTGGACTTTACTATTCCACGACAAGAATGAAATTTCCCCCTGGCTAGCAGATCCACTACCCTGCACCATAATTATAAAAACTAAGTCACACATCCTAAAAGCTTTACCCCAAAAAAGGGGAAAATAGCGATGAAGGACCGCAGGAGAAAATTAATATCAGTCAAGCACCAGTTGTTGTTAAAATATGAATGGAAAAAATCCTGAATGAACTATTATTAAAACTTGAATGAATATTTGTTGATAAAAGACTAATCCGACAACAAGTATGTATTCAAATTTTAACAAGTAAACCTTTACTGATATAAATTTGCTCCAATAGTCCTTGATTGATATCCAATACCCCAAAAAAAGACAGACATTGAAAGATAGATCACAGATTTATCACATAAAAAGCTGGCATTTCACAGGCACGCACTAAGAGGAAGGAACTCTGACCTTGAGTGGCGGAAAATGGGTGGGCTCCAAAGGATTGGTCAAATCCCATATGCAAATTTCACCATCATCAGCCCCAGACGCAAGAAGATTGGTGCAATAGAATTAAATTCAAGACCTCGAACCTAAGACATCAAATTCAGAGATAGATTTTTTTCACTTTTCAGGAAAATAATTCGTATTCTAGGTGAGAAAGAGCAGTTAGCAACTGCAGGCTCACTCAAAATAGGAAAGAAAACTTACAGGTCCTTTATGCCTTACAAGGTGTGCAACCGAAGCATTTTCATTCACATCCGAACTGAGAAATCCATCAAAAAAGTAAGTTGATTGGAAAGACAGAAGAAAATTTGCACAACCTTCAAATCCAAAAACCACAAAACCCAAACATTCAGGCTTACTAATCATTGGATCAATAATTTAAATCAAATCAAAGAAATCTCCAAAATAGCGATTTTGCACCCTTTAGTTTCCAAAGGCTAATGGCTATCCTTTAATTTCAGGACAACCATAAAATACATTATAATTTGAAAGTACATCATTTTTTAGTTAGCATCAATTAATCAATTAATAGACGTAAAATATAAAAATCAACTTTCACTTGCATCAACCAAAAAGAGACAACCATCCATATATTTGCTCAGTGGAAAATGGAAAACAAATAACATTCAATTCACAACAAATCATATTTAGAATAATTTGCAAACAACGGCGCAAAACTTCAACAATAAATCATTGTTTATAATTTTAATCTGCATCTCTTTTTCTTCCATATGTTCTCACCAAAAAGACCACCAAACCTACCCTTGGAGAAGATGAAAGATTTTTTTCAACATGCACCGTTGAAAAGAAAAATCAATGAACAAACAAAAAGCACAAGAAACTAGAAAGAATTGCCAAAAGAAAATGCATAATATGCTGTATACCAATAGCGGCAATGCAATATCAAACACAATTCCTATTCTAACCGAAAATAACGTGACATCAAGTAATTCTTCAGAAATCAATTCACAACACGGAAGAACATCACAAAACATGAAAATTGCCAATTTTCGAGTTGAACTTAATTAGCATAAAGAGCATATTATCCAATATATCTTTATCCCGTTCCATTTCCTGAATTTCTCAACTTTTAATAAATATCTACTCCATGCATCTAGAGGCCGAGTACTGATCAGTTCATAATCCTTGGAAACCATTCAGCGTGCATCCAGTAACAAACTAACCGACAAAGTTTCAAATTCTCTTAGTTGAACCTCTTCCGGCAGGTCCCCTCATTAAAAAACTAAACCAAAATAAAATAAAGAAAGAAACACACTGAAGACATTCAATTCCAAAAAGGCCGACACAGAAACAAGGCTCTAAAGCTAAACTCAATTACCGGATCAGAGTAAGAGGATTCCAGATGTCAATGTTCCCATCGACCAGTCCACCAGCAATAAGGCCGAGACCAAAACCTTCAGACGCAGGACTGTTCTTCCCCCAAGACAGACGATTGAACCGCTCGGAGCTGGGAAAGTCGACGACCAAAGGCAGTTCCTGATCATCCGACTGGAAATCAAGCTTAAATATTTCGAGATTGGCAGAGGAGCTGAATGACAGATCAACCGCCCCCGCCATGGTTCCGGCCGCCATGTAAGGCGCGTCCGGTGCCAGAGCCACACATGCCGACCGATTCACCCCTTTTATGCACGCCATTGGATTTGGCAAGACCTAATCTCCCCCAACTAAACACAAATTCAAGTGTTCACTCGGCAAAAGAAAAATTGGATCTCAGAGATGGACAATTGCCAAACAATAATTGGGAAGATTTCGATCTGATCTGTGAAATGTTTATGCGAGAGTGCGAAAAAACACTCTCTGTCACGCTTCGCCCTTCTTCCTCCTCCTCCTCCTCCTCCTCCTTGCCTCCGCCTTCTTATTCTTCGCTTCCGTTTCTGTGATTCAATATCAAAGTTTGCATTCACGAGGGTTATGGAAGCGTGTTCGAGCTCATTTTCTGAGTTAATTTCTTCACTTTGTGGGAGACAAAATTAAGGCTTTTGGATCACGAACACAAAGGGAAGGGTAATTTTGTCCTCGATGGACAACTGTCATGGCTGGTGTATAATAGGTGTACATTAGAGAAGCCGCACCAGACCCTATCCCCTTGAGGGAATAACATGCATAGTCAGATGGTCCAATTAGAGCTTGACGTGTAAGACATAATATGCGATTAAGGATTTTTTTTTTTTAAGTTATTTCTTTGGTCCAAATGTGATTAAGGAAGCTCATGGATGGATTTGCAGAAAGAGATTGAATTGTCAACTTCCCCGAGTTTTGTTAATTACATCATTCATTTCCACTTCCCCATTTTCTGATTACAAGAATTGATCACTTTGCGATAAAAATAAAATTGAAAATATTAATAATAATTTAAAAAAATAAATTATATTTGTACTTTTATGCCTTTTTAGTATACCAGTAAATCATATTAAATGAATAGCAGTTGTTATTATTTATAAGTTAAGGATAATATAAACTTGTGTCAAACTTTATTCAATGTACAAAATTAACGTGTTTAATAAAATACTACCTTTATTCCAAAAGTCTTGATCAAAGTTATGGTACATGCATTAAGAAATAATTAATTAATATAAAATATTGCCACATGCTAACTAAAAGTCTAAAGCACACTTATCTTGTGGGATTGCTGGGGCTATTTATCATGCATTACCAATCCTTTCCTTCTCCATTATTTATAGTTAACGGTTGATATTTGGGGTTTTTTATTTATTTTTTTTTTTTTTGGAGGGAGGGGGGTAATGCTAAGCCCGGCTAGCTTGGCAATTCACAAAGATTAGAATTTTTCTAACTTATTTAAAGGCAGCTCACCTCATCTTGCCAAGGGGGGGGGGGGTAACCTACTTAGTTTTCCTTTTTTTTTTTGTCTTTTGTTTTAATTATAATGAGAAAAGCAACTTGTGTTTTATATTTTTTAAGTATAACCCTGTTTCATGGTGGATGCTTGGGTCCTTGATTGAATTTTCATTTTTTAGTCTCTTATCATTAAAAGTTTGCAAGTTTGAAATTTAATCAAAGGTTAAGAGTTATTTTCACCTCTCAACTTTACTCAAAGAGTCACCAAAGACCTTAAACTTAAATATAAGTCAATTATATCCCTCAACGTTAAAAATTTTCTCCTTCATCACCATAATGTTAAAGACATTTGAGATTCGTTAGTCATCAGTAGGTCCCATTATTTTTTAATATTTTTTATCTAGTTAAGGATTATTTTTGCTCCTCAACTTTTTTCAAAGGGTCAATGGACACACTCAACTCAGATATTGTATAATAAAAAAGTATTAAAAACGTAATGTGAGGTCTACTAATAATCAATTAACTATGAGAAAATAGCAAGGTGATAAGAGAAAAGAATCTTTAAAGTTAAGGAACCTAATTGACTCATAGTTGAGTTTGGAGTCTTCAATGACCTTTCGAGTAAAGTTGAAGAGAAAAATTACTCTTAACTTTTAATCAAATAACTTTTTGATAATGTAATAGAACTCAAATTTAATTTAGAAAATGATGTAGTTATTTCATTCAAAAAGTATTTGAAATTGCAAAAAATAAAAAAAGGAAAGTAGATTGACAAGTAATCCTAGTCATCTATGATGGGTTATTAGTCTACTCGGTGGCAGGTCGATTTAGCTTGCTCAACCTAGCCTAAAACCTATAGCAACGTAACTCGTCGGCTAACCCACATTCCTAGTAAATGTGGTAGAGGATTGAGACAAAGACCATGTGTCCCCCTTGCTTTTGTAACATATGCATGAAGCATGATGGAGTCTTGAAGTAAACTAGTTGCAATTGGCAAGGCATACATCATGATGGGGTCTTGAATTTTTGGAATTCAATTCTAATGTTAGAGCATATGTTGCAATTTGTAGAAGGGACGATATGTTTGAGAGTTTATAGATACAAATTTTGCATGTAGGACATAGAAAAGTGGAAGATATATGTACTGTTGTGTCAATTTTAGAGAGGAGGGTCTCACTCAAGGCCCTCAAAACATGAAAATTTGCATTTAAAGCCCAATGTAATCTAAATGACACATTGCAAGCCTAAAGGTCTTTCTTGCAAGTTTTGTTGTTGACAAAAAGATGCATTTGCCCTTACCTCGACAAAATGTTCATGTATGCACAACGCGATATTTATAAATCCTCAACACGATGTTCATGAATATACAACATATCTAATGAACATTAATTTAAAGTATGTTCTTTTAATGAAATTGTGTTATTCATCATACACTTTATGTTGTACAACTGTTGTAGGCCTGTATATGTTTGCTATGTTGAGAATTGATAAATATTGTATTATGCATTTATAGATATTGTGTTGTTCATTATTTGTTTACCTGTACATTTTACTTTAAGTTAAGTCATGTCCATCAAATGTGCTGTGTTTTCATGAATATTATATTAATAATTTATAGACATCATGTTGTGCATACATGAACATTCTGTTAAAATAGAGGCAAATGCTTTTTTTGTCCACAACAAAATTTCCAATAAGAACTCTCGAGCCTACAATGTGTTTTCAAATTCTATTGAGCCATAAATGCAAATTTTTATATTCTAGAGACCCTAAGTGAGATTCTTCCATTTTAAAACTTACGTATATAGGGATTGCTAGGCCTATATATCATGCATTACCAATCATTTCATTCTCCATTAATTATATTTAATGATTTAAGGTTTAAGATTTAAGATTTAGGGTTTACGTCTGATTACTTATTCCTTTCCATGGACTAAATGGGATGAAAGTTAAATGGATCACTACAAAAAAAATTGACTTTAAACAACGACATTACTGCTGAAAATGAAAAGTCGTTGCAATATCACTGCGAGAGCTCTTGTTGCTGATTATATTTGTGACAACAATAAAAGTTACTGCAAAAAATATTCAATCAACAGCGATAAATGTCTCTACAAAAAAGAAAATTTGTTACCATAAAAGCATAATTATTGTTGAAAGTTGAGAATTGGCGGTGATGAATGTCACCGTAGTATACATCAGTAGCAACCTTTGTCGTCACAGAAACTATTAATCAACAGTAATAAAAAAGTTGCCACTGAATAGTAATACTAGTTTACTTAGTCACATGGTGCCATGTTAGTAATACTAGTTTACTTAGTCACATGTCACCATGTCACCCTTCACATGGCGCCCACGTCGCTCCTCCATGTGTCGCCCCCTACCTCACACCACATGTTATCGCGTCACTAATTTATATTCTCATTTCACAAATTGCATTCTCAAAGGTTTGAAATTATGACTTCCTTCTTTTGTTTCCCACCATTTTGCCATTGAACTAGAATACACCTATTGTCTATTATTGCATAATTATATATATATATATATATATATGTTAAACTAAACAAACACACTATATCTTAAATATTGAATATTATAAAATTTCATTACTATTATTTAATACTTTAATTTAATTCTTTTAATTTATTAAAATTGGAAATTATATCATTTATTTTGTCTAAAGTAAACTATAAATATAATTGATATAATATCATTTATATCATTTATTTTAATTTTTTCACTTCTTGAGGTTATTGTATTATTTATTTTAATATTCATATTTATAATTATAATGTAAAAACATCTAAGAATAAATAATAAAAATCTAGATGATGATACATTAGGTCATAATTATTTATTTTTCTAGCTTGTTTTATTTAAAATTAACATTAACTCTTAAGTAATGTAATTGGCTTGTTTTTACATTATGTTTTACATTTTTAATTAGTTTTCATTTTTAAATTATAATTTTATAAGGAAATTATATACTATATTATCTATTTTTTTTATATTTATGTTGCAAGATATCATCAAACAAAAAAAAAAAATTACATAGCATCACATACATAGATCTATCTCATATATTATAAAAGTTAAAAGTAGAATTTTAGAATATCTCATTTATTTTCTTTTCACCTTCCTCTTCCCTATCATTAAATATTATATTGGAGACATTTAAACTTGCATCAAGCTTCAAATGCACCGATATTAAATGTAGAATTTAAATTAAAAAATTAGATTACATGAAATAGTATTCTATGAATGAAGAAATTTAATGATCACATGTCAAATTATTATAAACAAGTAGTGTTATTATTTAAAATATTAATTTAATCATAAAACATTTAAAAATAGAGACTCATTACTACATTATATGCATTTAAAATTAAAATATCAAACATTAGGCTTTTGAATGAATTTATCACTTCACATAGGGGTATACATTGGTCAATTCAATTAGGTTCAATATTAATTGACCAAAACCAATTAACTAAACTAGCCTAAAAGTTAGACTGAATCAAACTAAACATTACTTGATAACAAAAATTAATGTAAAATAATACGGTTTGATTCAATTCTTAAGTCCAACTCATTGGCATTAAAAAATACCTTAACCTTATCTTAAAATAATTTTATTATTTTAAAGTTACAATTTTAACCATAAAATATATTAAATGAAAACTCATTATGTTATTTTATATATTCAATTTATAAAATTACAATAATACAACAAAATTAATGTCTTAAAATATTAAATGTTGAATTAAATAAAAAATAAAAAATTATGATGATAATATAAATGTTGTCGTTGAAAGTCTCACTTTTTATGGTGACTCTAAAAATTCGTCGTTGATTGTAAACTTTTAGCGAAAACTCAAACTTTCAGTGGTGACAAGTATTTGTCGCTGTTGAAAATTTAACAATCAGTGGTAATTATATATTGTCATCACAAAGTGTTTATTTTTAACAGTGACTCTAGAAAGTAGATGCTAAAAGTCTTTTTTTTTTGTCGTGGATTAATAATGACTTGTTAAATGAGGACTGATATATATATATATATATATATATATGTATATAAGACAGTGAAATTGTAAAACAATAAAAGTTTCAAGGAAAAAAAGATTTAGCATGACAATAATTTTTGAATAGAGGAAGCATAAAATCTATAAC